CTGCTGAAAAAACCCCATTCTTCCATTCACCTGGGAATAGAAGCTGTCAGTCTATGGCTGTACTTCTCAGTAAGGGGAGGGACATGACGCGCAGGCTAGCCAGTGACACCATCTCCTCTGTAGCAAACTGAAGGCATTGACTGTCTTTTAGGTAGTATCATGGACTTCTCTCCTTGCCCCATAGTAGCTGTAGCTGGATTTTGCCTTCTCTTTCTCTCATGTCCCCACTCTTGCAGTCACAGTAACTGTGTTGTTTTTCTTTATCTTGTTCTGTTTGAATGCAAGCAGATATTTTATGCTGTGGTTTTGGAGTGCAGATACAAATTGGGTCTGTTAAAGGTTTATCCCAGTCTCTTGCTTGCTTTTGGTTACTGTATGAAAAGAAATAAGGCTATCAATGTTAAGTGAATTTGAACACAGTGTCTTCAGATTGCCTGAAACAAACATGCAAATTAACTGCTGTCTGAGAGGTTACACAAATAGTGAAAGGTATGGTTGTGAAGAGAGCATTAAAAATTAGACTGATGGCTTGTGAATAAGTTGAGTACTGCCTCCATTTGTGAAAACAGTAGCTCAGAAAATTGTGAAGTGTCCCACCTTATTTCAGCAATCCTGTTGACTGTGAAGCCTTAGGAGATAACACCTAATCTTGTGTTTCTTCACAAACTACATCCCTTGGAGTCATTAATCACAATTAGCCCATAGTAACTTTTGCAGATCTTCACTTGTTCTGGATCTTCTCTGCTGTCAGCTTTTGAAGTTCAAGACATTCTCTATACTGACCTGCAAGCACAGCAAACTTAATGATGTTTCAGCTCCTTCAAGAGGCTGAAAGAGGGGCGGGAAATTCTACTGTTTATCTGTCTCTGGGAGAAGATAGGGAAGAGCAGAAAATGCCACCCAGATAATTGAAAGTTTCTAGTTTGTGGCAGGTTCTGCAGGTGTGTGTGTGTATATATATATTTATTTAGACAGAGATTGCTGCATGACCCTTATGGTAACCACAGAGTCAAGTTAAATTTAGGGACATCTGATCTTTTCCTTCCAAAAATAAACCATACAATGCTGATTACATTTTGTTAGCTACTTTTCTTTTAAAATTGCCTCTGTTAGCCTGTGTTTAAATTTGTCTGGATTCATCACAGTTTTCAGTCTTTCCCAGAATGTTGTAATGCCCACTGACACCAAAACTAAGGCACGTTTCTTCAGAACATGCAGGACATAATTAGATATTCTGTAATGTCAGTCTTTTTCTGTTGGCTGCCAGTCTAGCTCTAGTCCAGTTCTGATTGCTGGTTGTGATCAGAATCTTCAAGTAAGCGTAGTAATTGAGCAACAAGATATTTTCTTTCTTTCTTTCTTTTCTCCAATTTTCATGTGGTGGGAACCTGTTTTAAGTCTGGAGAAACAGAACTGATAGCTATCGGATGTAACTCCAACAAGCAGGTAATCTGTTAGGTAGTTAGATGAACTGGTATGATGATCCCTCTTGCATGTGTACAACAGCAGAGACTTTGTTACGGTGCCCTGATTCTGTAGATGAAATTAAAACATGTCTTTGTCCTTTTTATTACGGGAGTTATTATCATTTATATATATGTATAAATACTGTATTTATATGTGATTCATTTTTAATTAAAGTATCAAATACGAGAAGAATATTGGGATGACAACTTCAGAATAAATTGTAAAGTAACTATGCTCTTTATGGAGCGCGTTAATTACTAAAAAGTTTGTATGATGTGGCGATAGGCTTTTAATTGTGTTTTTTTCAGCAGTTAAAGGAGGTACAGATAACTTACTAATTTTTCCTCTAAAAATAGTAGAACACTTGCAATTAATGCATGGATTAGAAAAGTCAAAGGGCGTGAGTTGCCACCCCCCCCCCTAAAGTCTGTTAACTATCTTAATTCAACAAGAAACATGGAGTATAAAGTTGCAGTGCATGTGCAATGTGTAAAAGAGAATAATGTCAGTCTTTTATTCTGCTAAAGAACAGCAGACTGAGAAGACACAGATGTCTGCTTGGTGCGAACAGACATAATTTACTCTCCCCCAGCCCCAGCACTACAGCATGAAAAGGCAATTTAACCATTTTCAGCAACTGTTTATTGGGACCTCTTACTATTTAATTCTGAGTTATATGCCTTGAATATGTCTTTAGAGTTTAAGACTTCTGCTGCATCTATTACTTGAAGAATGTATCATTAGCTCCTGCTTAAATTTATTAAAGGACACCAGCTGCTAGGCAGGAAATGCTGCTTGGAAGGCTGTAAGAATAGCATTCCCGTGGTGTTCTGGGGAATGCCCCTGGTTTTTCCCTAAATACCTGCAGAAGCAGCCACTCTGATTTCAGAATTTAAACTTCTCTTGAAAGAGAAGGAAAGATGCAGACAATAAAATACAGGCCCTAGCTGTTAATGTAAGGAGCGCTGATGATGTGATCAGAGTGTAATCTGGCATGATGTAGTAACTGGGGATTCAGCTGTCATAAGGAAGCGTGTTTCCCTGCCTCGCATTTTGAATACCTGTACAGTCAATTTTGACTTCATATTGGGTAGATCTTCCCACATTGTACAGAGGGACTGTACAGCTTAGCAGGAGACAGACTTCTTGTTTTGACCTTTGGGGGAATATTTCTTGGGATCATCTTGGGATGAACTCTGAATTTTAACTACTATGAGCAAACCCAAGGACTGGGACAAGAGGACTGTGTTTGAGCAGGATGGGAACATCCCTGCCTGGAGGAGCAGCTGTCCTGTGAAGCTGAGCAGTTCTTTTCTACTGGAGTTCACTGGAGCATCTCTCACTTTTCCAGAGGGAATATGTTAAATATTGATGTTAGAGACTTTATGCACATGTTCAGGACAATTACAGAAAATCTTGACTTTTAAAAAAAAAAGAATAAAATTTTTAAATAAAAACCATACTCTTCCAGAGAGAATTGTTGGAAGTAATGTTAGCATGAAACCTTTTATGCTAACAGTATGTCTGTTGAGTACTTACTGAGGACTCATCTAGCTTTAGAGCAGCATGGAGCACTGGTTTTAAGAGCAGTTAAAATGGATGAGAACAACAACAAAACCCACTGTTTGTCTCATCTTACAAACAGGCTGAAGCAAAGACTTGGCATATTTATGTTATGAGATGCAATCTTTATGCAAGGAGAGGAAATATATGGAGAAATTGAAACATTTAATCTCCTTGCATGTGTTGTACAATGGGTTTAGACAAGGCATCGGGGATAAGCTTGTAGTCTAGGACTACTGAAAACATAGTGTCCCGTTTTCTGGTTAACTTCAGTGTGGGTTATACAATTGTCTATTGGCCATATAACGTAGTGCTGAAGAGGTTTAGTCCTTCAAGTGCGAGCTGCTCTGTAGAAAATAAAGTTTCATGCCTTCCAGCACTCTTATGATATTCGTTAGTCCAATTTATTCTTCCTCACATAGGAAGAAATCTAGTATGGATGTTTTTGAGTGGTTCTGAGAATGGTGAGACAGTAGCAGTAGGGAAGCATGTCTGGTTAGAGTCTATACTTCCTCCCATCAGTTTGTGTTTAAAATTTAGAACAATTTTCAAGTTAAGGTATGTGAGTGTGCTTTTATTTGCATCTGAAGTATGCAGCTTAAAGAGATCCTAAGAATAAGACTGGGAGGGTTGCAATTTCCACCTCTCTCCCCCCCTTGCTTATACAGATGCAAAATCAGAAGTCAGACTTTTACTATCTATTGATTGTACCAGTTCTAAGCTGGTGCCACGCAGCCATGTTCAGATACGTATACTCCAGATATTTTCTTACTGCAATTAGAAATGACAGCTTCTGCTAAAACCTTTTCAAAAATACAGTGTATATTCATGTTATCTTTCTTCATACTCTGTCTCCCTTTGTGTGAACAAATGTGTGCATATTCCTCTGACAAAAGTGATCAGAATGGATTACTTTCACACAGTCTTGGTGGACCTAAGCTTTTTCTTTTAAATGCTGTTTCTTTTGCTGAGTCATCTTTTTTCAAAGTCATTGAGGCTGCTGTTATTTAAGCACCATTTTGTGCTAGACAAAATAAGCTCTTTGAATAGAACTGTGAAATTTTCCTTCACTGTTTAGCAAATGTGGTGTTTTCGAGCATGAAAGACGAAGAAAGTATGAGTTATAGGAAGTATTTCTGTACTGATGGTGGTAAAGCAGCAATCTTGACCTGGTTACAAACCAATGTAAAAGTGCTTTATGGTCCTTAATAAGCAAGATGAGTGATAATTGTGTAAAACCAGCCTGTTACTGCATTGGAACTGGCTTCTATTTATGCTTTCAGAGTTTAATATGGTACTTAGATCTTTTAATGAATATTTCAACCCTATCATCTCTGCTGGTGTAGAGTGGAGAGAAAGAATCCTGAATGCTGAAATTTTAAGATTTGGCATGGCATATATGAACGGATAGTAAACTGAACAGATAGGTATGTTGACTGAAAATCAGGTGCTAATTACCACTTATTCTTGAAAAAGTTTTGCTGAATGACCATCTTGCAGGTATGTACCATATTTTGCCTATACTGTGGTGGTGTAATCAGGCCTAACAGTTCCAGGGTTGAAGCTGTAAAGAAGGAAGAGAAAGGTGTTGGTTGCTGGTCAGTGACCATAGAAATTTATCTGTTGATCTTATTTAAAAAAAACAAAAAACAAAAAACCAAAAATCAAACAAAAAAACCCCAGCATATACTGCTTTTCCAGGCTTTAATTTATTTCTGTGTCTGGTTGGTATTACCGTCATTTTGTCTTTATTACTCTGTTTTTAGGTTGTCTGAGGCTCAGCAGAGGGTCGGAGGATGTTTTCTAAATTTGATGCCACAAATGAAAAGCTTATACCTTGCATACTGTGCCAACCATCCATCAGCAGTAAATGTTCTCACAGAACACAGGTACGTTTACTTTGCAGTCTTTTAAGTCTGATAGAAAAAAAAATGCATAAAATACACTTGTGTTGTAAACCTGTGATGTCTCTCTTGACACAGATTTGGTATGGTAGAGCTTGTTTAAGGAAAAAAAGCAGTAGTATATTTTTTTAAAAAAGACAAAACCCCCTACAACACAAAGTTCTTCCATGTGATCAGGACCATCTTGTCACTTTTGGCAGTGTGTTGTCAACTATTTGAGAGCGTTTCCTCATTTAAAGAGCACACGCTGGACTCTTATGTAAAAGAAAGCATACCGATTGACATCTTCATTTAAAAGATGTCGAGATCAAAACAAGTTTATGGAATTATGGCATAATTGACATGACTACTAGTAGACAATTGATGAATTGTAAGTTAGCCCTGTAAAAGCCTGTGTGTACTGAACTTTATAATGGTATACCCTTAGCTTTACTTCTGAGCGATATGAAAGGAGTGTGAGCTTTTCAAGTTTACCAAATTAATATTTCCTGTGCGTAAGAAATAGGATGCTGAGTTAACATGATAGGGATTGCTCAGCTTTTGGGACTGACCTTGAATTTGCATAGAAGATGCCCTGTATCACCTTGAGGGAAGAGAGTTGAGGCCAGAATTTGATTCAAGACGTCTGTTTTCACAAACTTGTCCTGTGTATCCCTCTGATGAGCGCATGCTGCAGAAGCTGTTAATTTGGGGCTCTTTGTTTCCTTGTGGTGCATGGCAGAACTGTGACCTTCTCTTGAAGGTTAGACATAGGACAAATTCTAGCAGGATATCTGGTTTTTTCCCCCTCCCTGCTTTGTCTTGTTGTGCTGGACCAAAGTAATTGCATATTCTTCATTGTTCCTAAACAAAGAGGAGCGTAAATGAGTTATATACTATAGTGTTAGCATTTTCCAAGAACTTCCATTTTAACAGCAACAATATGTGGCATGTTTGTGAGTTTTACTCATAATAGTATAAATAAAAAACCCCTTCTAGCTACCAAATACTATGTACTACCATTTATGTCCGTAAGACACGCAACCATGTTCCAACACCAATTTGAAAAATCAAGCTGGAAATTCACATTGCAATTTAGGCAGACAGAGGGTATTTTTTTGTCAGAAGCAATGACAAAATTAAACAAAATATGTTCAAAACCCCCTGATGAAACTCTATACTGTTTGTTTTCTTTCAAGTGGCCTACTTCTAGTACCACTTTCTGTAAATGGTAAAATATTTAGCTGATCCACACCTATGGGTTTTTTAATACTCTTAGGGTTAGATTTTGTTCGTGACTGTATGCTCTTTCTGGGATTTAATCTATAGTCAGAAGACATGGAGTGATAGCTAAGTGATCATCTGCATTTCTTAAGATTTGGAGATACTTTTAAAGGATTATCATAACTTTCAGAACTCTTGGAAAACAGAGGGAATAGCCATGTCTGAGAAATTGTGACAAAAATGTGAGGAAGGAAAACTATTTGTTCTGGAGATGGAGAAGAGTAGCATTTCTTCTCTTCTGTGTTGCTTTGGGTGTAGGTTGTTCTAAGAAAAATTCAGCTTCTGGTTTGTAAAGTCAGCTTGATATCAAATCCTGGTGGAGTCAATGCAAGTATAGAGCAGTGAAGTAATTTGTATGTGGAAGTAGGTTCAAAGCAATTGTGCTGTTTTTAAGAGATAGCTCAAGGGGAGGTAAGTTGTGATAAATGGCTTTCTTTAATGCTGTTGTGTTGCCAGGCATGAGTCAACAGAAGTGAATGCTGGTTTTTTCTTAATTACCCTTCTTTTATTATTCTAAGCCCTTCATTTTTGTTCAACACCATTGCTGTAGGTAGCAAGTGGCTTGACTAAAAATTCTGCTTGAGACAGATGCCATGAAGAAATCAGAAGGTGGCTTTAAGCAGGTCTGAAACTTTTCCTCTCAGAATGCCAGAAAGCTTTTAATTGTGTTGCTTTAAAGGTGGGGAGGGGAAAAGACTTTTCTGCCAAGAATAACAGACTGATTGAAGGCAGGAAGAAAAGGAAAATACTCAGAACTATCTCCTTGTTTATTTAGTTTAGATGTTTTTATTATGTAAAAGCATCCCTAGTAAACCTTAATGTTAAAAAATTATTGTGAGGTTTGAGGGTAGTCATGATTGTAATAATAATGAAACAACTACACTGCAGTGAATACCAGATTAATAATGAGCTGGAATTTTTCAGAGATGTCAAAGACTGAGACTTAAGACTTTTAAGAAACAGTGATGATTTGTTGGCTGGTTTTGCATTACAGTTTTAGCAGAGGGTCCAAAAGCATTACATGTGCTTTAATACCAGCAAAAATATGGCAGAGAAATAGATGTTTGCTGAATTCTTGAATTTGAATGTCATGTTTATAACAGCTGTGCTATTCAGTAGCATTTTAGAGGGAAAAAGAACAGTCTGGAACGGTTTGATTTGGAACATAAATTCTTACTGTCTACAGCAGATTATTTCTCGCCATGAATTCTGCGCACTTCATAAACTGAACATACATGCATTAACTGTGCTTCTGAAAGCCTTTCTACAAGAAACCTAGCAGATCATTTTAAGTCAGACTCTTAACATCACAGCATTAGTTGCAGTTTAGTAAGTTCACTTGCTTTTGTTGGGAACCATACCAACAAAAAAGAAACAAAAAAATTTCCTAGATAATTGCTCTAGGTGACACTTCAGAAACTTTACCTCTATTTTGGTTTTTAATTTTATAAAAGATACTGGTTTTATTGTTGTGTTTTTACTGTCGCTGACTAAAAACAACTTAAAGGAAATTGGCTATCATTTTGAAGCATTAACTGTATTGTTTCTTTAACCGACTGGATCACTGTAACATCAAAACTGTAAGCAATCATCTGGTTTGGAATATTACATGTATGAGGTTTTTATATGTCATTTTCTGAAGTATCAAATGTGCTCCTGGAGTAGTGTTGTAATATGTCAAATGTCATTGACATCTGCTAAAGACTATGTGTGTATGTATGCATATGCACAGATAAAACCTGACCATAATTAACTTACTCAGAATTATTTTGGACTTCTAGTCAAAGGGTTCTTTTTTTGAATAGCATTTTTGTGAAGTCGATTCTAAATAGCAGTACTTGGGATGGGGCTGGAGATTTAAAAGGGACATTCAATTGGAATGTGACTATCTTTTGTTTTTCTTCTTTTTTTTTTTTTCCTTTCTTTCTTAAATGCCATTCAGTATGAATGCTAGCCTGTGTTTCCTCCTTCTCTTCTTTGTCATTTGCTTCTTGGTCATATGTAGCAGCAACATGGGGGCATATATTCAATTAGTACAAAATAAGAGAGAGAGCACGTTTATATAAGTACACAGTCGGGGTGAAGGGGGTTAATTATATTAATGGATAAGAGATTTTTCATGTTCAGATCTTCAAAGCTGCAAATATCTTTCATTTCTTTAAGTTAATTATTAATAGTCAAACTATTGAAATGAATATCATTGGAGACCTGAGCCTATGTGAATATGCAGAAATGGGAATAAACCTAATATAGCCCATACAGGAATTCAGGTTCCAGAGCTGCATATTTCTGAGGTTGTATTTGCCTCTGATAATCACAATAATAATAACAACAACAAAATCTTTCTGTTAAGTTTGGGAACAGATTGTCGTCTTGATTCCAGTTGTGGCACTGTAAGTTTTATCCAGGTGATAAGAATTGGTACTCAATTTTTCCAATTTCCTACAATCTTGAAATTTGGTAGGTACTTTTTCTCTCAGGAGTTGTTTCAGAGCCATTGCATATTCTTTCCAAAATTAAAATTCTTTCTGTGTAACAAATTGTGGTGGGTTGACCCTGGCTGA